ACGATGTCTGCCTGACGTCACCTCGAGATGCTGACGTCACACGATGTCTGCTGACGTCACGATGTCTGCTGACGTCACCTCACGATGTCTGCCTGACGTCACCCTCGAGATGTCTGTTGACGTCACTGCTGCTGACGTCACCTTGCGACATCACGCCTGACATCACATGATGTCACATCGAGTGTTCTAGTAATTATTTCAGTATTGTCGAGAAGATTGAGAGAAAATATATGTCGTGTGTTAATTAATTCCTCTCAGTCAGTGTTCTCACATTTTAGTATGTCTTAGTCAGTTTTTATGCGCAGAAAAGCATCATTTTGCTAGTTAAGCCATGTTGTAACCGTATGTACAGCGGTGTGTTTTTAAAGTTCCGTGTGTCCAGTGAGGTCTGTGGGTCAGACCCTTGAATTGTACCACTAAGTCACCCGCCTGACCAGTGTTTGACAGCTGATTTCTCAGCCCTGAGCGTAATGAGCCCCCTGTACAGAAAGCTTTATGCTCGTCGCTCGTGATGTTCTGTAGATCGTACCTGCTAACGATTCCCATCGAGATTTGTTTCACTTCACCCCAGACCGTCAGAGTGCAGTTATATGTAGAGAAACAAGTCTGGGGACGCTTAGACTAACCTCTGCTATAACTCCAACTGTCGAGAGATGATACTCGTCAAGCCGCAGCCAGGCCTGTCGGCAGGCGCTGTGTCAGCCTCGTGTCACAAGCTTCAGTGAGCAGCCTGCACAAAGAAGATGTCACTTTGACTGCTAGCTCGCTCACTGCAGTCTGGTGTATGATGTTACGACTCCCAGATGTTTCGCCCAGTCGTCTCTGCCACGACTCGCTCCACAACTCGCTACCACGCTCGCCGCAGTGACAGCCCAGCGACAGTACCAGTCGAGGAGTGTCCTGAGTCGCTTGCCAGAAGTCCTGCCCAGTTGCCGAGTTTTGTCGACGCCTCACTCGAGGGCACCAGCATGTCGTGCCCCAGGTTGAGTGAAAACCTGCAGCGACTCCTACGATGTCTGCTTCACCGTTCCAGAGGAGACCGTACCCTGTTACGTCACAGCTCAGCCGCAGCGATGTCTCCCGTGTTGCAGTATCTGTCCAGACGCAGGAAGGCGTGCAGTGATGCACTTCGATGCTCACTGCCTATGACCACGATGTTTAGCACACCCCACATGTTTTTTTCTTCCCTCCCTGTAGGAAGTTTTTTTTTTTTCCATGTCCATATGTATAATATATGTTTTTATTTTGTGTTCTGTGCCCTGTTCCTACAGAGAGAGACCGAGTTTCTTTTCTACCAGTATTGTCGCGTCGGGACGACGCGCGATAGGTGGCCGAGCGTATGTAGACAGCCTGTACTGTCTGCACAGACAGCCCATGCTGTCTGCCAGCTTAGTTCATATTTCGCGCCACTCAAGTGCTGCCACCTATAGGCCTTGCCACTTCAGTATGCCCAGACTTGCCTCGCTCTCACTCACACAGCGCCTGGCTTCAACACACAAGTACTCTCATCTCTCTCTCGCGGGCATGGCCTGCCCGGCCATGGGCACAAACACACAAGCCTGTGTAACCCACCACTACTTAACAATAAACTAAGAAGCCTCCGAAGAAGTATATCATTTAACTACCCGCTCTACAGCTACCAAACAAGCCCTTTATACACATAATCCTTGAATTTATACATTTATATTCCCTTTTTTCCTGCCATAACTTATTCTTCAACATTATTGCTACTCCTTCTTTAGCTGTAACTCTGTTTGAAACCCCTGACCTAATCCCATTTATTTTCCCCACTGAAACTCTCCCACCCCCTTCAGCTATGTTTCACTTAAAGCCAGGACATCTAGTTTCTCATTCATAACATCCACAATCATCTCTCTTATCATTCGCACAACATCAATGCACATTCAAACATCCCACTTTGATGGTTTTCTTTTTCTTTTTAGTTGGCTATACAGGAAAAGGGGTTACTAGCCCATTGTTCCCGGCATTTTAGTTGACTTTTACAACACGTATATGTATGTGCTTACTGAGGAAGTATTCTTATTCCACTTTCCCATGGATATAAAAGGAAAAGCAATAAGAACAAGAACTATTAAGATAAAATCAAAGAAAACTCAGATGAGTGTGTACATATTAATGTGTACATGTATGTGCAGTGTGACCTAAGTGTAAGTATAAGTAACAAGACGTACCTGAAATCTTGCATGTTTATGAGACAGAAAAAAGACACCAGCAATCCTACCATCATGTAAAACAATTACAGGCTTTCGTTTTACACTCATTATTATTATTATTATTATTATTATTATTATTATTATTATTACAATGTAAATAATTTGTTATTTTTATTCACACAAAACATAGATTTACTGTTATGCATACTACTGCATTATTGTAATAATTGTATAAATAATGTCAACCCATTCATTACTGCATATTGGAATGGACAGTTACGTCATTTGTTTACTCTTGAACATCGCCAAAGAATCGAACATTTCTGCTGCTTTGAGCTCAGTTTCAAGGTACTTTTCATCATGAAACCAATCAAAATCATATCTACTTCTGTAATATATCTTCCATTCTATCAAATGAGAACAAAAAACGAGAATATAACCATAAAAACCATACGAAAATACCGCTAAGGGGCGGCTAATGGCTAAGAAGTGAACTCTCTTGTTTATGGTCCGATTTCTTTCATTTTTAGTGTACATTAAGAAGCATCTTTCCATCATACATTGCCCAAGTTTCAATAAGATAGTCCAGCAAACAACTGAGATCCAGTTCCCTAGATCAAGAGGAAGAGCCCCTCACCAGCATGAAGCAACCTCCCTTGAGGCCTGCTCACATCTGGAAATTTCGCTTGCGTCTGGAAGCAAAAAATCGGCTGAACGACTGCTCGTTTCTGGAAAAACTCGCACATGGTGATTGAGTACCTGATCCCAAAACTCCACACTGCTATAACAAGAAGAATATGCAAAATAAACCCAATGAAAAACAAGGGTTCAGTAATATATAAAATAAGTCCAGTGAAAAACAGGGTTGTCGTGAGCACAATAAAAAAACATTGTATCAATATCCCAGATTGTTTAACACAATACCACAAGATATCAGAAACACTGCTGGAACAAGTGTAGAAGTTTTCAAGAGGAAATTGGGCATGTACCTCCTCCAAGTGCCAGATCAACCAGGCTGTGATGGATATGTGGACTAGCAGGCTTCCAGCAGTAACAGCCTGGTAGATCTGGCAAACACCGGATAATCCTGGCTCAGGGCCAGGCTACAAGAGTAAGAAAACTCTTGAAATCCTTCAAAGGTATATCAAGGGTATATTTTGAATGAAGTCCTTCATAACAAGTTTTCATTTTAAGGGTCATGCAGTAATAAAAAAAAATGGGCTCTGTGAGAAAACTCTGTTTATCATGAAATAATTTTCACTAAAAACTTTGTAATATCTAATCATGTTGTTTGCTAAAAAAAAAAGACAGAAATTTCAGGGTTCAGCTGTGTTAAGCAAAAGGACACCGATGCAACTAATGTGACATTTTATTGTGGCAACATTTAGCTCTCCAGGAGCTTTGTCAAGCCAGCTTGACAAAGCTCCTGGAGAGCGAAACGTTACCACAATAAAATGTCACATTAGATGCACTTGTGTCCTTTAACGAAACTGTAATTTGACTCTTTTTAAATATATTAACAAAATATTGATTTTAAGCTGTTTCATTTGCATAGCTTCATTATAAATAGTGACTTTTGAACATGATTTACATACATTTTGTAAGCAATGTACTTACTGTGTATACAATATTTAAATTTTCCTGTTACCCCATAAACTGTGGTTGATTTTAAAAAAATCTTACAGTGTATTAGTTAAATTTTATTATAGGTTTAATATGCAGTATTACCTTTGCTGAATTTAAATTCAAACTGCTTAAATTTGCTATATTAAAATCTGTTTTTTGTAATGTTTAACTAATGTAACCAAAATACATCTAACATGCTTGCATTTATTGTTCATTACCTGCAAATAACAGGGAATTTCCTTTATTCAGATTAGTTATGTCATTCTGGGTTTCTCTGGCACTTTTATTCATTCATAATTGTACAATAGTGGAGCAGTTTGTAAAATATACTTTGATGGATATATGGATTCAGTTCTGACATCTTGGAAAAGGCATCATGTGGTCTTGAACCATGGTCCACTAGGTGGCAACACCACACCTCTACACCTCCACCTTGATGCCACATAAATATTGAACTGGGGATTATGAATTAATACATTGGTAGTGATGGATTGCACTTTTGCCCCAAATCCAATCTTATAGGATTCAGTGCTTATCCACACTTAGGTTCTAGGATAGAGATTAGTTTACAGGTCCTTCATATACTGTCATGATGCCTTATTTACATGTGTTTACCTTCAAGATAGTGTGATGTTTTGGCTTTCATTAACTGACATGAAGAATATATAAACTAATCTCTAGGAATGGAATGTTACGAAAAATTTTTCCGATACCAATGCGCACTTTTACACCAGTACTGATACCATTAAATTTAGCTGATAGCTACTGATGCCAATAGCTCAATTTTAGGCTGATGCCAATTCCACCAAAATTAGCCAATACCCACCAATTCCAGTACCAATCCTTGGCGCATACTAATCTTTACCACACCAGACCCGAGAGCGAATGTGTTTTATGTTAAATGTGATTTTGGACAGTGGAGGGGTCTATCACAACTGATGGATTAAAAAATAATAATACATACTCCTTTCATTGTGTACTATCATGGTGCAGTGTTACATGTGAGGGGTTTCATGTGATGGACATTGTTTCAAGCCGACATAATGCCTCATTAACACAATGACACTGACAATTTTTTGTCAGTAATTGTTTCCTTGTACATTATATAGGATGTTTTTACTATACTGCAAATGCACAAATGTTGTTATGGGTCCCAATGCTGCTTGTTTTCCTGTTTACTGGAGAATATATTCCTTTTAGTTTTGGTATCGGAGATAATGCTGCAGCAGACTCAAGTTAGCACAGTCATCGGATATTTTGACACATGGATGAAAAAATGGCCAACAGTGGAAGATTTGGCCAGTGCTACCTTAGAGGAGGTAAACCAGATCTGGGCTGGTTTAGGCTACTACTCCCGGGCACGAAGACTTCATGAAGGCGCAGTGAAGGTTAGCATTTACATTTATTGTGTTTGTTTGCTTTTTAGGCCTGCTCTGCCTTAAGCAAAAGTTTTCACAAGAAAAAAAAAAAAAAAATTGCCATCCTCACACCATTAGTCTGAACATGTTCTTGAACATAAAGAATTCTGGAACATGACTTTGAAAATTTCTGTATTCATCACAGTTCAGTAAACTAAACAATTAAAGTAAATTCTTGATATAACATACTTCTCTATTACTAGCTTTAAAAATACGGAACACAGTTTTTCATTATTGCTACTTTCACAGCAAAACAATCTCTATCCATCATTATATTAAGGGTTTACTGTACTCTGACAATAAAAATGTGTTCTATTCTCACAACTGGGTGTAATAGAAAAGATTTTGTTCCAAGTTGCTCATGTCCACCATTCTCTTTTCAATATCTCTTTCCTCTTATTTCCTTACCTTAATATATTAACTTCTGGCTTTTTAAATAATTAATGATTCTGGACTGGCACATTGGCCATTGGCCATTTATTTTTGCTTTATGGTTTGTTAGTACGTCTGTCATATAAATGCAGAATCCTTTGCAGTCAACCTTAAACAATTTTACATGGCCATTCCCTTTGACCTTAAGAACATTGAAAGCTGTGATAAACCTCCCATCCCTAACCCGGAAAAAGTATAAACTCAAAAGATGTGTTTGTGTCGATACAGCCTCTCCTCTCTTAGCGATGTACTCGTTTACTGATGACTTGAACTTAGGCTGGGCTCTCTGACCAGTATGCATACCTAAATAATGTATATTAGAGCTGATTTCCTCTATTCTGTTTAATACAGTACAGTGGACCCCCGGTATTCGATGGCATCGGTATTCGATAAATCCGGTATTCAATGCATTTTAACGCAAAAATTTTGCCTCAGTATCCAATTGAAAACCCGGTATTCGATATGATTCGTACGAGACGTGTCCACATGTGGCCTGAACTGCCCCGTGTGTGCCAGTGTTTACAAGCCAGCCAGTGTGCGCGCATCTAAGGATACATTTGGTACATTCCATATTATCACTGTTTTTGGTGCTTGTTTCTGCAAAATAAGTCACCATGGGCCCCAAGAAACCTTCTAGTGCCAACCCTGTGATAAAAAGGGTGAGAATTAGTATGGAAATTAAGAAAGATTTTGAAGGGTTTGGGGGCTAACCCTGAGAAGCCTATGCCAGTTGTGGAATCCATTGTGCCTACTTCAAAAATTAAGGAAATGTGTGCATAGTGGGTTGAACTGCAAACCTTTATGGATGAAAATCACCCTAACAGCTATTGCAAGCCGTGCTGGTGACTATTACAATGACAATGCTGTGGCCCATTTTAGACAAATCGTAAAGGAACGGGTGGTACAGAGCAAGTAACCCCAGAAAAGGACTTGCTACCTCAAGTCCTAATGGAAGGGGATTCCCCTTCTAAACACTAATACCATCCACACTCTCCCCTCCTCCCATCCCATCAATCATCACCATATCTTCATTAAAGGTAAGTGTCAATTATTCTGTTGTTATTATTCTATTGTTATTGTTGTTATTGTAATTATTCTATTGCATTAAACTTAATATTTCATGTGGTAAAATATTTTTTTTCGTACTTTTGGGTGTCTTGCACGGATTAATTTGATTTCCATTATTTCTTATGGGGAAAATTGATTCGCTTTTCGATATTTTCGGTATTCGATGAGCTCTCAGGAACGGATTAATATCGAATACCGGGGGTCCACTGTATACAGTACACTACTGTATGAATATTTAAAAATATACCAGAAATGTTATAAATGGTGCAAAGGTGATATTAAAACAATGTCAAAGATGGTTGACACAAACTACCATTATAGTATGCTCCTCACTTAGCGACAAATTCGTTTACTGATGTGGTCGTAGGAACAGAACTCCGTCGTTAAGTGAGGAGAGGCTGTATTGCATTCCAAGCGAGAAAGGTAACCCAAGATATGTTTTCTTGACTCACATAAAATGTCATTCAGGATTTGTTATTGAATATAATAGGTGCCTACTTTTCTTAAAATATATGGTCCCAAAAAATGATAGATCATTCAAAGTAAAGCTCTGCAGCAAAAATGTATACCTCTGTTTAGCAAAGATGCACATGGCTGAATAGTGAAGAAGAATGGTACTGTGACGCAAAGATATGATGAATGATGGTGTGAAGCAAAGATGTGATTTGTTATGCTGTGAAGCAAAGATGTGCAAGGTTAAGTAGTGATGATGAATGATGCTGTGAAAAATAAATACTTAGGGTATGTAGTGAAGAACAATGATATTGTGAAGCAAAGATGCACTGAGCTGTGTAGTGAAGTTGAGTGATACTGCAAAGTATTTACTAGTATGTACTAGTGTGTATATAAATGTTATTACTGATGCTCCTCTTTATGATGGTTTCACTTAAAATATTTTGACTTTACAATGGCGCAATAGTGATGCACATTCAGTAGTCATCAAACTTTGAATTTTGATCTGTTCCTGGGCTAGCGATAAGCTGTACAATACTTTCTACTGGCATTTAGTTAGTTACAGTAATTATTTGTATACTTAGTGACAGTAGTTATTTATTTACTTATTATTTTTCATATATTCATATTCGACTTACAATATTTTCAACCTACAGTGGGTTCATTGGAATCTAACCCCATTGTGAGTCGAGGAGCACCCATATTGGTATGAACTATTGTTCAAGTTCATACACAGTAATGTATATAGATTTGCAAAATTTGCATTAAATTAATATCACTTCTGAATTACACTGTTTGTATTTTCAGATTGTGAAGGAACTGAATGGTGAATTTCCAAATGATCGTGATTCACTTATTCATCAGCTGCCTGGCGTAGGTCGCTACTCAGGTAGTGCAGTAGCTTCCATTGCTTTGGGATGCGCTGTTGGTGTTGTTGATGGAAATGTTAATCGTGTCTTGGCACGTGTCAGAGGGATTGGTGCAGACATTAATATTCAGGTAATAACCCCTTAAAATTTGGTGTGTAATTTTGCATGTTAGACTGGCAGGATGTGATACCAGTGGTTGAGACTGAGGGGAGAAAAAGCAGCAGCTGTAGAGGTGGTCTTGACACCCAAGGTAGGGTGACCCAAAGAAACACATTCATGATCATGCATTCAATAGCTGTCTTATCATAACTGCATGGACATCACAATTGAAATAACATTCTGAACTGCAGTATCTCCACGCATCCTTTAGAATGCAAATACTGTACTTGCTACCTCCAAGTCCTCTTCAAGGAAGCAGCTAGAAGATGCTTTTGTGTGTGCAAGAGGGGAGCAGGAGGGCAAGGAAATAAACATATTGTCTGATGATGACAGAGGCTAAGCAGTAGCAGAGGAGGTGTATCACTTCTAGGCCTTGAGGGAGGACAGAAGTATGTGGTAGAATTTGCCAGTTTGAGAGAGGGAACCTTTAACATTGCCTTGGCAGAATTACTCTTTCCAAGGTCTTTCAGGGGAAGAATTTATCGAAGATAACCCAGACAGGATATGAAAGATTGCATGATGAAAATAGTTCACATGACACTGGGTAGGAGTACTGTACTAGCCATCATAAGCAGTGTCCCTATATGAGAGTCACACTGTAGAGTTTATGCTTAAGACGAAGCCATGCAGAGTGGAGAATCTCTGGCAGGAAAAGCATTGAAGATGATATTGAGTACAGGTGTTGCAACAAGCTCATTTTCTCTTCTGAAAAATGGGACTTCATTTCTGCCATGTGTTGGTCTGCAAACTCATAAGTAGACATCTTGAGCAAGGTTAAGATGAGTGTGTAAGGTACTGGAGACAGGACTGCTGCAGAGGTAAAGATCCGAAGGTTGGAGTTTTTCTGGAAAACGGTTATACTGGCAGGATACAGTCATTTTGAGAGACAATGAGGCTTGCAATGATGCTGCAGAGATAGAAATATTTATTGCCATTGCCACTGAGTCATCAGTAGAACAAATGATGAATCTCTTATCATAAAGCAACGACGCAAATGACCATTCAACTCATTCACAAAAAAGCAGGAGCTGAAGAATGTAGTAGCTTCAGTTCAGTGATGATATCAAGCTTGAGCTTTGGTTTTTGGGAAGCTGCACTGACATACTACCGTCTTTGGTTCTTGGACAACTGCACTGACAACTGACTTTGGGTTTTTTGGGAGCTGCATGAACACCGTTTGGTTCTTGGGCACTCACGACCACTGGTTTTTTGGTTCTTTGGGGGC